CACACACACACACACCCACACACACACACACACACACACACACACACACACACACACACACACACACACACACACACACACACACACACACACACACACACACACAGTCTCCATCTGTAGATATCTCATCCATCTAACAGCAGTCTAGCGTCAGTGTGGTTTACATTTAGTTTCACTTACAGTAAATAAATGCGTGTGGTGTTGCTAAAATGTCTGGCTTGTATGTCAGATACAAATCAGCAAATGCAGACAGCATGTCAGTATTTTTTGGCATGTTTTCTCGTCCAGTTGTTTTTAAAATAAAAGGTGTAGTATGCTGAAATTAAATAAATATGCTTCAAACCTCTAGGAAATATAAATCGTTTTTCTTTGAGAAAAACAACTTAAACATCAATGTTAGTGTTTAAATAATCTTTTTTTATATTTAATTTTAACTGTAATATTTAATATTAAAATTGCAATATTACAATTACTATAAATGTTAATAGTACAATATTTATTAAACGTATACATAATATATTTTATCATAAACAGCAAAAAACTAAGTACATCATATGCTTCTAGATGCACAAGTTAATGTTGTCATTTTCCTACAAACAAAGAACTACAATAAATCAATTACTATAATATTTAATAGTACGATATTTATTTATAAATATAAGTAATAAAATATTTTATCATAGTAAAATAATGAATTTTTAAAGATTATCATTACAGTTTATGATAGTTGCACTCATAATTTAATAATTAAGATATGCATAAAAGTAGCTGGGTAAAGGACAGAACTACAAGAAATCAGTTACTTTAATATTTAATACTAATGCATTTAATTATAAGGAAATAAATAAATACAATATTTGAATAAAAAATTACAAATTAAATTAACTTTTTTTTTTATATTTCAAAGATTACAATAACAGCTTGTTTAATCTAATTCATCATTTACTAATCTTGAATATAACATTTAAAATTCTAATCTAAAAATAGCTATGTATATAGTTATATATGTTTGTGGATGCACAAGTAAATTTCAGTTTTCCCTTACAAGAACAGAACTACAACCCAGAATGTTTGAAAAAATAATATACAATTATATCATTAGACACTTTAAATAGACTAAATGTGTTTAGTTAGTTAGTGAGGAACATTTAATCCAATTAACTAGGATTTAACACACTGATTCATATAGCATCAAAGAAACATACAAAAAATTGCAAAGAAATTAAACTAAAAAGAAAAGCAATTAAATAAGTGAAGTGAGTCAGTTCTGTCTGTCAGACGTATTGACTCTTCCAGTACGAGTCAGAAGAGGGTGTCCGTTCCAACATGCTCACTCCCGCTTTGTCCTTTTCCACCAGGATGTATGGCTTGTCCTCCTCCTCCTCGTCCTTCCTCTGACGGCTGCCGTAGCGGCACAGCAGCATCACCCCTGCGACCAGGAGGAACATGAACGTGGCAAAGCCCAGATACAGCGCCTGTCCGATCTCCCGCTTGAGCGACTCCAGCACCATGGGGTTGTAAAAGTCTCGGACGATGGAGTGAGTCGACCAGCTGATGGGAAGGAGAGCGGCGAGGCCGGCGACCACGAACAGACACCCGCCCACCAGCAGCACCACGTTCTTACCCCAGACGTCGTCATGGCAACAGTCCGTGCCCCTCATCCCGCAGACAGACACCAGGACGGCCTGGACGGCGAGAGTGATGGAGGTGCACATGAGCCCGCGGGCCGCCTGGATGTCCGCCGGCAGGATGAGCAACGAGTCGTAGACTTTGCATTGCATGCTGATGTCCGCGTGCCGTATGCATGCCATCCATAACCCCTCCCACAGCGTCTCCATGACAATGATGTTGGGCCCGATGTACGCCGTCACCTTCCACATGGGCATGGCGGTCACCGCGATGGTCCCCACCAGACCGATGGTGCCCAGAACCAGAGCCAAGATCTCCAGCTTAGCCCTCATGACGGCAGCGGCCGAGAGCAGAAGTGATGTGAAAGTGATGTGAAACAGTGGTGTGTAAATGTACACGGGTTATCTGACAGGAATGAGATAGGAGGGGTTTAGTCCATCAGTGCTATGCGGTAACACTGGTTTCTCAGAGCTGATGAAAAATGGACTTAGTTTTGTTTTTAAAGCAAGTTCATAACTTCAAGCATCTGTTAATATAGCAGTAACTGCTCTCGCTGGTTAAAAACATAACGGACTCCAAGCCAGTGACACCCGACTTGAGCTAAAGTAGTGGCAGCAATGTGACTATAAAATAATTCAAAATAAAATAATTAAAAAAATTAAAAAAATAAAATAAAATAAGACTATTTTAAATAAAAATAAAATAATTTGCAATATTTTAAATGATAAAAAAATTATAATAATATTTTTAAATAAATGTAATTTAATTTAAAATAATTTAAAAATAATAATTTTAAATAAAAAAAATAAAACAGCTAAATATTAAGATCAATATTTTCATTTGTCTTCTCAAACATTTTTACTTGGAAGTGGTTAGATGTTAAGGGTTTCTTGAAAAAATTTGGATATATGAGGGAATTTTAAATGTGTGATTTCTAGACCTGGGAAATTGATAAAAATCATTGGAAACACTTCACTTGACAAAACAAATTTTAATGCATTAATTATGCCTTGTAATGCACTGCATGATCTCCTGAATAATTTTAACCACATTTATAATACATTATAGTATTTATCTATTCCCTTATACAACTTTAGAAAGTGTATTTCATGAAAACACATAACAAACAACTGATTTTTAGATGTAACAAGGAACAAGGCAAATATTATAATGCATTTTAGCATTGGTTATACTTATTTATGAAAAGGTATAATGCATTATGATGTATATTATGAACAGTGTTGGGGAGTAACTAGTTACATGTAACGGAATTACGTAATTTAATTACAAAATAAAAGTAATTGTAATCAGTTACAGTTACTAAGAAAAAATGTGTAATTAAATTACAGTTACTTATGAAAATGTTAAGGATTACAAAGGGGGTTACATATGACTTTTTCCACACACACTCCCACATACAGATTTAATTGAGTTCTTCATAAATTGAAACACCAATGTTTCAGAAGTTTATAACATGCTTATCCGATAGGGTTTATGTATATGCTTTTTAAGATTAACTGTTTTTTCTAAGGCATTGTTAGATTCCAGCGTTTACTGTCATAGCTATGCAAAGATTTGATTTCAAAAACAGTATCATAGCTAATAAAATATTTATTGTTATGATTTTAAATATGTATTTAACCTCAGAATGATTTTAAAGGGTTAGTTCACCCAAAAATGAAAATTAGCCCATAAATTACTCACCCTCAAGTCATCCTAGGTGTATATGACTTTCTTCTTTCAGACGAATCCAATCGGAGTTATATTAAAAATTGTCTTCGACCTTTCAAGCTGTTTAATGCCACTCGGCGGGTGTTGCATGCATCAGTCCAAAAGAAGTGAAATAAAAAGAGCCGATGAAGGATTTTGAAAGTCTGACAGTGTTGAGCACTACTGTAAGGTTAACCCTGCATGGTGTAAATGTTTGAAAATTATTAACAGTTGCAAATAAACATTCATTAGAAATTTAGAAAAGTAATCAAAAAGTAATCAAATGTAATCAGTTACATTACTTTAATAAAGTAATTGAAAAGTTACACTACTTATTACATTTTAAGTAGGGTAACTTGTAATCTGTAACCTATTACATTTCCAAAGTAACCTTCCCAACACTGATTATGAATACCTTTATAATGCATTATGCATGAAGGCTTTAAATTTTCACCTAATGAAAGCTTTAAGTGTTTCCTAAATATTTTTTTCTAGTTATGCCAAGATCTAAAATATTTAATCAGATAGAAAATTGTGAGTAAAAATATTTAAAAAATTAAAATAATTAAGTTTTAATATTAAAATATTTAAAAGAAAATATTTAATCTTTATCCATTAAAACACACACACAAAGATATTTTCCAAAGTAAATATATTAGTTCAAAAGGAGGGCCTTAGAATATAGCAGTAAAATAATTGGGGGTCAAAAGGTCAAATAGGTTGAGAACCACTAGGTTAAAGGGTTAGTTCACCCCAAAATTAAAACTAATTATTTACTCACCCTCATTTTGATCCAAACCTGTTTGCTGTCGAGTAGAAAAGGAGAAGTCATCTTTAAGAAGCTCTTTTCAACTCTGACTTGTGTCCATGTCTTGAAAGGTAGGGAAAGTAAAAAAATTAAAAGCAGCCCATATGTGACTCATAAGTAACTAGTAATAGTGAGATGCTTAAAGGGATAGTTCCCCCAAAAATGAAAATGTGATGTTTATCTGCTTACCCCCAGGTAGTGTTGTCACGGTACCAAAATGTCAGTATTTGGTACCAATACCAGTGAAAATCCACGGTTCTCAGTACCAATTTCGGTACCAAAGCAAAACACAAAAACATGCTAATTGGACGCGCCGCCGCTCAGGACAGTTCGGACATTGCGGTGAATCAGAGGTAAAAAACTATATAAATACTGTTCAGTTTCTTGCACAGACAGATCGTTTCGTGTCTTAAGACCTCAATGTATCGTCACGAGCCGCAGGCTTTGATTTGGTTTTGTTTGTGTATGTTTTTTTTTTACTCTCAAAGCCGTGATTCCCATTCACCTCCATTATATGACTGACAGACTGCAACGGTTTGAGTTAAAAATCTCCGTTTGTGTTCTACTGAAGAAACAAAGTCACCTACATCTTGGATGCCCTGGGGGTAAGCAGATAAACATCAAATTTTCATTTTTGGGTGAACTATCCCTTTAAGATAGCAGAACTACAGCTAACGGCAATCCAAAATGAACAAGCGTCACATATGCAAGTGAAAACGGACTTTTGTGAGTAATTAAAACCGTTATCAGAATCAATGAATTTGTAAGAATGATAATCTGAATCTTGTTGTTCTAAGTGATTAAATCAAATAAAAAATTGCTCTAATATATTTGACCTCAATTGAATCAGTTTATATAGGATGACTAGAGGTTTTTTCCCTCGAAACCGTTTCAACACGTCAAATAAGCCATGCATTAAGCCATCAAAATGAAAATATGAGGAACAAGATGCTTTTGTGACAGGTGCTGTTTCAACTGACAGCTGATGCTGTGTCACTATTGTGCATATATTGCATAATCCCATTTCAGAAACAAAAGTATATAGGCCTATATATAAGCGTGTTAAAGAGGGGAAATTACATATGTGAGATTTACAAACAACAGCTACTAAATAATATAATTTGTTTTTATAACTATGATCTGGTATTTTATTCTTAAATGTATTTTACTTTGAATTTCTAATTATGTTTCATTTTGACTCCTTGGCCTGGAGGATTGAGATGAAAATCCTGGCTGAACATCAGATCATGCGGAGTATGTTTACAGGAGCTCACAGAGAGCAGAAGCGTGTCTCACCTGAGCTAAAATGTCACTAATGTTCCTGTAAAACACAGTGAGCTATAAAGCGGTTTGAGGTTAATTGAAAAGTCAACAGAAACTTTCAAACCTGTCTGACAGGTCGGACCGCTGAGACTGAGTTTCATATCAACTCACAGGTCCAGCCTCAGAAATCAAGAGTGACATTTAACAACACAAGACTTATATCAATCAATTCTGTCAATAAATATTACACCTTTCCTACAAGACAGCACTTTACTTCACCTTTTACTTTCCTTTAACCTGACAGTAGAAATGTTTCACTTCTTGCCTTAATACATGACCAGAAAAAATACATATATACGACATTTAAGTAGATTTTTGTAGAAAAAAGATCATTGTTTATATTTGCAGTAGAAGATGAAAACGCTCTCCTCAGATTTGCACATTTACACGAAATGTTTGTGCGCCATCTAGTGTATCTGTGTAAAACTGCACCTTAAACATCAAAACTACAACAATACTCATTTAAAAACGTTAATTAAAAAAAAATAACCAAAAAAGGTATTTATTTTGCATTTACCACGACAAAACGTTAGACGTAAATAATCACGCTTTTCACGTAATGCATGGTAAATTAATATTATAATCATTCACTACATCGTATTACTCCCTATTTTACCACGGTACCACTACAGTATTTTTAGAAACTGTAAATCAGGTTAACATTTAGCCTAAATGTTGATTCATTTAGTTCAAATCTACCATAACTTGATAAACTTGCCTTGTTTTCTCATCAGAAGTCCTCGAGTGAGGTGAAGTCGACCCCAGAATCCTTCAAGTCAAAGATTAAAGGTGAAAGTATTCTTCTCAGCATCTGTCAAAATTATAGTAGCAAACAGACAGAAAGACAAAAAGAACTTACTTTTAACATCGAAACGTAAGGAACACAATTAATGAACTCGCGGAAATAAAGCGTCTTCTTGAGTCGATTTTCCACATATTCTGCTGTAAGAACAAAAACATGCATTTTCTATGCACAATATCAACGTTTTACCCTCATAATGATGCTTTCGCATACTTAATGTGTGCACTAAGAACAGTAGGACCACAAAAAATATTTTGCACAAAAATATGGGTAACACTTTACAATAAGGTTCCATTAGTTAATGTTAGGTCATGTATTAACTAACATGAAGCAAACAATGAACAGTACATTTATTACAGCATTTATTAATGAAAATAGTTATTCATTTCTATGTTATAGATGTTATGTTCCGTTCTATATATATATGTTATGTTCTGTTACCATGCACAACTTTTGATTTTAATAATGCATTAGTAAATGTTGAAATTAACTTTAACTAAGATTAATAAATGCTTCAGAAGTATTGTTTATGTTAATTAACTAAAGTAGTTAACTAATGAACCTTATTGTAAAGTGTTACCAAAATATGGTACCAACTTCGACCACTGGGTGGCAGATTCATTTATCTTATGGTTTAAAAAAATACAAATATATAAATAATTTTTTATAAATATATACCGTAATATAAGCAATACACTTCCAGCTGTATAACAATTATAAAAACAATTAATGAAAACCAAAAAATTGCATACTTAAATGTTAATATTAAGATAATTAGCGAAAATTGTCAAATTAAACAAGCACAACAGCAAAAAATGAGTGACATAAGCTTGCTTTGACATGACATGAAAAACACTTGTACAGGTTTAAATCTACCTTCATTATATAGTTGACTGTTCTGAATGCCACAAGAAGGAGAAACCCATTTTTTCTCCCTCAATTTAAAAACAATAACTTAAAAGATTTATAGTAGCTTATTAATGAATTAATTTCTATAAATGATGTGTGCTGATGTGTGTGTGGTCTGATGATGTCAGTCTGGCCTGCAGACAGGATCTCTATCAGCTCGTATATCTCAGATACATCTGAGCGCTGAGAGATTGATTGCTTCACTCGTCTTGTATCTTGAGTTTCCGCTCAAACATTCAGCCCGAAGCCATCCTGGCACTTCCATCTGTCTGCAATGAGAGTGGTGCCATACAACTCGAATTCCACCGTCAGTGACTTTAACACATGAAGGGCAAGATCACACAAGCAGAAGTGCTTCTTATTAACACGGCTGTTAATGTGTAAAGACATACTGGAAATGCAGAAGCATCCACGAATCACAGGCTTTTGATACGTACGAAACCAATTTATTTGATATAATATCAATCCACAGCTCTATATACAAAATAAAAATGCAGTCTCTATAGCTCAATGGGAACGTTTTCAATTAGAATTCAATATCATCTAAAATATTTTCCAGTGGCTTCTCTTGATTGCATTCAGCAAATTTGGGAATTCTGAAACATGAACCCAAAGTTTAACTGTGAGAAAGAAAAAAAAATTACACCGTATGCATTTTGTCTGTGTAAAGGCTCGGATCGTCGAGTGTGAATCGTGAGTGTGAGCGTCAAAACGAGGGTCGTTATGTGTCATTAATGTAGAGCTGAACCACAACAAGCCATTTAAACAGGAACAGAACAGTCCATCTGCTAAAAATCATATTGCATTTATCAACAAAATTCAAGTAAAACAGGACATAGTAACCTAGATGAGCTGTAAAAAAAAAAATTCTCCGCTCTGAGAAAGGAATCATAAAAATTCATTCAGCATTATTTTGACCTGAGATGTGCACATCTAAATCAATATTCAACACAATTACTCGATGAATATTCAAATTACATGTATATTTCAGGTCAGAATAGTGCGCAGTATGAACATTTCTGATAAATCACAAAGAAATAAACACAAATATTTACAACCCAAAGAAAAAACGGCGCTTACAGCTTCTCTGTACAAATATGAGACAATGCCGAACAAATTAAAAAGTGAGATATTTAATCAGGCTGTCGTTCTTCTTACATCTGAAGGACATAATAAATAAATCACAGCCTTTATTTTGGAAATGACGATGTCAAGAACGAAACAGAAATGTTTGGCAGACGTTGGCGGACAAATGTTTGAGGCTTGCCAATGGCGAATGTGCAATTCTAATTCTATTGATTGTACCACGTTTCCTGCGGTTTCTGATTGGCCACAGCGCACATGTAGAGCTCATCTAATGTGTTTAAAGCGTCATATCTTACAGCTACTTCGAAAGGAATGTCTAACATTCGGGAATATTAGCGTGGAGAAACTGTCGTCATGCATCGGCTGATGTATTTGACCGGCGAGCTTTAAAGGAACAGTCAAGCGAAAATGAAAATTTGCTGAACATTTACTCGCTGTCAGGTCATCCAAGATGTAGATGAGTTAGTTTCTTCATCTGAACAGATTTGAAGAAATGTAGCATTCCATCACTTAATAATAATGTTTAATTTATATAGCGCCTTTCCCAAGCTCAAGGACACTGCACAATGACAGAAGCAAATACATTCCTACATACATGGACAAGACATTTTCCAAGTCCAGAACATGTGGTTGCAGTTGCATACCACAGTAATAATACAGTATCATAATCAAAAGCACCAAAAAAATAAATAAAAAAAATCATCACTTGCTCATCAATGGATGCTCTGCAGTGAATGGGTGCCGTCAGAATGAGAGTCCAAACAGCTGATAAAAACATCACAATAATCCACACTCCAGTCCATGAGTTAATGTCTTGAGAAGCCAAAAGCTGTGTGTTTGTAAGAAACAAATCCATCATTAAAGCGTTTTAACTTTAAACTGTCACTTCCAGCTAAAATATGAGTATATGATCCATAATAACGCTTCCTCCAGTGAAAAAGTCCATCCCCTGTTGTCCTCTCACATCAAAATCCACCAACATATTTGTTTTGGACTGTTTTTGGCTTGTAATCTGTGTTTGATCTGTGCAGATTTCTCTCCTGATTCAGACAAGATGACTTTTTCACTGGAGAAACTATATTATGGATTATATTATCATATTGTAGCTGGAAGCATTGGTTTGAAATTGGATTTGTATCTTACAAACATGCAGCTTTAGTCTTCTCCAGATGTTAACTGATGGACTGGAGTGGTGTGGATTACTTGTGGATTATTGTGATGTTTTTATCAGCTGTTTGGACTCTCATTCTAACGGCACCCATTCACTGCAGAGCATCCATTGCTGAGACAGTGATGCAATGCTACATTTCTCCAAATGTAGAAACAAACTCATCTATATCTTGGATGGCCTGTGGGTGAGTAAACTTTCAGCAAATTTTCATTTTTGGGTGAACTATTCCTTTAATTGTGTAATGTCTCCTGATGTGTTTCAGCTCTGGGTTTCGTCCTGTGTCTCGTTCTCTGTGCTGCTGTCCCGTCGCACCCAGATGTCCTCATCGGGCACTTGCTCATCCACACTGGCGACTGACATGGCACACTGCTTCCCTAAATGAGACAGCTTGGCATGCTGGGATTTGTAGTCCTTCTTGCTCTCCTCTTCCTCCTCTTCTTCCTCCTCAGCCGTGTCTCCCTCCAGCGAGAGGGCAGAAAGCGGTCCCTCCACGTCCGGCTCGGTGGATGGGCTCAGAGCGGACTGGCAGAACTCGTCGTCGTCGCTCAGGATGTCCGTTTCCTTCACGTCCTGCTCCTGCTCCTCGTAGCACTGAAGGTCGAACTGTTCCTCCACCCAGCGGTCGGTGTCACCCGCCGGAACGACGCCCTGCTGCTGAGCATGCTGGGAGTCCGGTGAGTCGCTGTCGGGCTCGGTGTCGAAAACAATGTCTGTGTCGATGGTGAAGCGGTTCCGCACCAGTTTCCTCCGGCCCAGAGTGCGAGTCGGGGCAGATACTGAGAAGACACAAAACCATGAGCATCACTAACATGGTTTACACAGAGATCTGACATTATATTGTGAAATGTTATCACAATTTAGAATAAATGTCTTCTATTTGAATATATTTTAAAATGTAATTTATTCCTGTGATCAAAGCATCATTACTCCAGTCTTCAGTGTCACATGATCCTTCAGAAATCATCCTAATATGCTGATTTGCTGCTCAAAAAACATTTCTGATTATTATCAATGTTGAAAACAATTGTGCTGCTTCATATTTTTATGGAAACTGTGATATATTTTATTTTTCAGGATCCTTTGATGAATAGAAAGTTCAAACAAACAGCATTTATTTGAAATAAAAATCTTTTGTAAGATGAATGTCTTTACTCTCACTTTTGATCAATTTAATGCGTCCTTGATAAACGGATGTATTAATTTCTTTGTGTGTTTACCTGCTCTGTTCATGGCCGGTCGGGCTCCTTTCAGGGCGCACAGGCGTTTTCCTCCGAAGGGAACGTACTGCTGGCTGAGAGGAAGACTTTCCGTCTTCAACAGTTGACGGCGCTGTTTATCTCTCAGGATGGAGTGAACCGTCTTCAAGAAGTCTTTCTTACTCTCTGGAGAGCTGCAGACACAATTTAAGACACAAATTTGCACAATGGTATCAGTTTATTATTCATGTTGACTTTGAACGTATGTTCAAAATCCAGCGCTCAAAAATGGGTTAGATAAATATGGTTTGTATTTGTATTTCACATAACAATAACAGTGCGCACTTCATTTTTGACACAGATCTACATAAAGGCAGTACAAGGGTCCTCCACCAGATGGTGACAGTTTTCTTTATATCTATTTTATAAAATATATTTATATATGAAATATATATATATTTTTAATATATGCTAAATATTTATATATTTGAAATAAATGTTAAAATATATTATTTTTATATACTTCAAAATTAACTGTATTATATTTATTTTTAAATTTTATAATATACATAATTTTTTTTAACGTTTGTTTTAAAATTGATAAAAAAATAATAATATATATATATATATATATTTATATATGTATATATATATATTACCGCATTATAAACTAGTCAGTTTATGCTGATTGTTACAGTGCAGGAGACACTGACCTGCAGCAGAGCTGAAACACTCTCTCTGGTCTTCCCTCTGATTCAGACTTCACATGGATGATCTCACACACAGCTGCACTCTCTCCATCTGAAACCACACACACTATGATCAGCTCCCCGTTTATCCCTATAGGGTCTGACTTCATCATGCACAGATTTGTTTTGTGTGTGTTGACGGGGTCATAGGTGAGCTTACCTGTATTGGACAGTGTGCGCACCTGAAGCGCATCAGTGGGGATCATGTGGCGGAAACGGAACGGATCTTTCTCTTCACCGGAGACAGATGCTCTATGAGAACCACCCTGAGAAACAGAGACAGACGCGTGTGAATAATGTCATTCATTCATCATTTTGATGGGAATCAGGGTGTGAACGCTGTACGATACTGCACCAAACAAGAGCATGAATACAACACCCAGTTAACTGCTGAATACTTCTGTAAGCCCATGAAAAGAGGGCGAGAGAGAGGGGAGTGTTTGGGCGTAAATTGCACAGCCGAAATATTCAACCGCTCTGATAGTGAGGATCACAACACTCACCATTTTCTTCTTCTGCTTGGAGTAATCCTTACAGATGAACACTACAGCGGTTTTGAACACTGGAGGAGAAACATATAACATTGCACTTCAGTTCACTGCATAAAATGACATGTCTATCTGTCCATCTGTATGACTATCTATCTATCTATTAGGAACAGGGGCGGACTTACCCATTAGGCAAAGGTAGGCGACCGCCTTGGGCCCCCAAAAGCCAAGGGCCCCCTAAAATGCTTTTCATGTAGCACGTGTGCGACACAGTTTTACATGTGTATGAGTCGTTTACAAACCTGTTGTCCAACAAAGATATTTTATTTTATTGACATGCTTTTTCTCCATATTAACTTCATAACATAGTCGAGTGTTTGAAATAACTTATTTTTGTGATCAGACGTGGTTTCGTATCACAGAATAAGGCAGAAATCATACTATTTTATAGCATTATATACAGTGATAAAGGCTATGTCGATTAGCATTGCATTATAAATATACTTTATCCTTATAAAAAAAAAACAAGATTGCTTGAAGAACACAGATACCATATATTTTGTGCAATCGCATGTTTATTGTCTTCAGGTTTCCTCAGTTAAAATTTCTTTATCTGCGTTTTATTCTGCTACAGCGATCACTGGATACTTCTTCCTGGAGCATTACTTCTACTATGCATATGTGGAGTTTCTGCGCAAGGGCGCCCTCCGGCTTCCAGTATTAATTAAACAGTCATTACATTATGTGTGTACTGCTCACAACACCCTATTTTGGGTAAAAATAGAAAAGATAATACTTTTCTCTAAAGAAACAGGATTCCCTAAATTATCGTCATTGATATCGTTCCCTAAATTATCGTGATACATTTTTAAGCCCATATCGCCCATCCCTTCTATCTATCTATCTATCTATCCATGAGTTGAGGTTATATGGGAACAGAACGTACCGAATGTGGCCAGCTGTGGCTCTTTCTTGCACTTTCCCAGTGAGGAGGACGGGTTGATCCATGTCACGCTGGTGTGGAGGAGTAAATCTCCCATAGACAAGTCAGCAACCTGTAATCATAGCAGAAGCCACCGTTAGAGCTCGCACAACACACACACACACACACACACACACAGAACTCGTAATCTGCAATCCAGAAGGGATCTCGCCTGTCTCTACCTGACATCATTCCGAGCTACAGCCACATTATGCAACAAAGTTTCACTGTATTCACATAATAGGCTAATAAGATTTAAATATGCAGGCAGATGACAGTAAATACAGAAATAAAGAAGGAAATCTGATCTGACAGTTTTAAGTTTTTATCAGCTGCAGAGCATGAAATGTGGTTGAAAATCTGAGACCCAAGTTCTGTATTATCCCAAGCTGCACTCACATGCAACCAAGAGTGACCTGACACCATGTGAACGATACAATAATATTTTGTTTTATATAGTAGTTGCATAAACAAAAAGTTAATACTGAGCAACTCACATTTTAGAAACATTTAAGAAAGATTAGAAATATTTAAAAACATAAACGAAAAGAGCATAGTTAATATTGGTTAATTAAATACTTAATTAGGATTGATGCAAACAGTAAAACATTGCTTGTTGAACTGATGTAAAGTTCACAAACCTCTTTCTTGTCTCCAGTCTGTTCAGAGATGAGGAGGTCAAAGACGGCTCCAAACTCCTCGTGGATCTTCTGCATCTCGTTGATGTGACTGGCCACTGTGTTCATGGCTTTCATTGCAACTGCACAACAGCAGAGAAAATAAATTATATATCAGTTCTATATATGTGTCAATTATATAGCAGTGAATTCAGAAAGTTGGTTGAAACATAAGAGTTCAGATTGATGGCTTTAAAACTGATCTCCAGTTATAACATCTTATTTGGACAATACACTACACTTTTTAAAAAGAAATTAATACTTCAAATTAACACATTCAGCAAAGACACATTAAATTGATCACAGTAAAGACATTTATAATGTTACAAAAGATTTCTATTTCAAATAAATGCTGTTCTTTTGACATTTCTATTCCTCAAAGAATCCTGAAAAAATACATTTATCACGGTTTCCACAAAAATGTGAAGCAGCACAACTGTTTTCAACATTGATAATAAGCAGAAATGTTTCGAGCAGCAAATCAGCATATTAGAATGATTTCTGAAGGATCATGTGACACTGAAGACTGGAGTAATGATGCTGAAAATTCAGCTTTGATCACAGAAATAAATTCATTTTTTAAATATATTACAATAGAAAACAGTTATTTGAAATTGTAATAATATTTCACAATATTGCTGTTTTTACTGTATTTTTAATCAAATAAATGCAGCCTTAGTGAGCAGAAGAGACTTCTTTCATGGCATGCTCATATGAACCGGAGTCTCTCACCGTTCAGATGGTAGTGCTCCTCGCTGTCGGGGTCTGTGAGCGAGTGCAGTTCTCTCAGGAGCAGAGGGTACTTCAGCACTCTCTGGATGGGTTTGATCAGGTACGACTCCAGCGTGGATGAATGCTGCTGTTTGGGGTTACGCTCGTCCAGAAATGCCTTGAAGGCCACGTCTGTTTTTGCTGGAGAGGACGCAAACACAGGAAGATGTGATTATGCTGTCACAGGACTGATAGTGATAGAAAGATTTGAAGACGGCTAGCATTTGTTGTGCTTTTCACAATACAGCGCAAAATGTTTTCAAGTACATTAAGTTCAACTTACTGGAAAACACTGTTACGTAACCTATCCTATAACAAATCTGCAGAATCGACATTAAATAATAAAAATAGCCCACACACAGCAGCAGGATTGCATTACACACAGCGGAGCCGCTCACATGGGATTTACAGACCCCCAAGGTGCAGGACTCACAGGGAGCAAGGTCGCCTTTGAGCAGAGATTTACATACCTTTGACAAGCACTTTGGGCACTTTGGTGTGGCTGGCACAGAAAGCGCTGTAGATCTTGAAGCGGTCGGCGTAATACAGGAACGAGCCGCCCAGAGAAAAGAGGATTTTCTGTAAGACGAGAGGGATTTTGAGAGAAATACATCAGGTATTATGGTTTGTGTTGGATAAATCTTGCCTCTGAGTGATGCACTACAACCGTAGTGTCCAAAAACATGTTATTATTATCACACACGTCCAAAAAAACATGGTATGCCCCAAAAACTTGGTAGCATAATAATATTTGTTATTTAAATGAGCAGACCAGACACTTTGAGTGATACTATGTTTAATGTGATGTAAATGAGATCAGAGGGACAAACCTTGAACTCTTCCACTCGCTCCAGTTTCTCCAGGTCCGGCACCAGCCGGGTTCCGTCTTCCAGAGTCTTCAGAAACTCCACCTGAAACTCCAGCATCTCCGGGAGGTTTCCGAACAGCACGTCCAGCTATCAGATACACATGCAGGAAAAATGAATGTGGTCAAATGTAAAAATGTAAACAAATAATTATCTTAATATATAAAAATAATTTAATTTTAATTTTAAATAGATGTGCTACGTAATAAAGCTTATACTATGGAAGCCCGTTTCCGCCACTGAATAAAAAAATAAAAAAGCTAATTGCGACTTTATCTTGCAATTCTGACTTTTTTGTAAATAAAGTCAGAACTTTCTCGTAATTCTGAGAAAAAAAGTCACAATTTTGAGATTTAAACTCGCAATTCTGAGAAAAAAAAGTCCGAATTGTGAGTTTATATCTCGCAGTTCTGACTTTTTTCCCTCAGAATTATGGGACATAAACTCACAATTGCGAGTTATAAAGTCCAATTTTGAGGGGGGGAAAAGACTGGTATGTTCTCAAAATTAGAGATAAAAAGTCGCAATAACCTTTTTTATTTTTTTATTCAGTGGCGGAAACGGGCTTCCATATTACACACACACACACACACACAAATAATATCAAATATAAAAAATCTCCATAATATCTAAAAATCTCCATATATACAAAGTAACGATAGATAGAACTAATATATATATGTATTTAATATTACTTCAATAACAAATATGAGTAAAAACGGTAAATATTCACTTTAACATGTGTACCCAAAACAGTATATAAATTACATAAAATACGTATTTTTGTAAAAATACATATAGACATTATATACTGCTCTCTAGTTATCTGTCTCAACCTTTAAGAGACTCCATATTGGTGGAAGTACATCTCTTTAGTGTCTGCACTGCTGCATAATGAGCTCAGCTCCCATATGTAGGGCATTAAAGGAGCAGAAGATTGAGAACTTCCTCTCGTCTGTCTGATGTAAGTTTTCCTCATTTTGTGTCTCCCTCCCACTCTCCTCTCTACCTCTCTTTTCTTGTGTGTGTGTTTGTCTCTGTCTCAGAGTCCTCCTACACGCTCCTCTCCATCAGGATGATTATGAAATATCACTCTGTGTTCTGGAGGTGTTTTTGAGCTCGCCAGCTGATAATAACATGAAACCATCAGCAGCGCTTCAACTCACCTCATCCTGAGTGAGGAAAGACTCCTTCTGCAGCGGGGTTAAATATCGCCCGATCAAACAGTTCAGATCCTGAAAGAGAGAGAGAACACACAATAATATTGAAGAACAGCCTATGAACAACATTCACAATATTAATATTTGACATTATATTTGATTAATTTCATGGCTGTTTAATAACCTTTCCATTTAAAAGAATTAGTTCCAGATTATTTTAACATCAGAGATCCTATTATAGTTTTTATTAATAATTTGAATTCGCTTTTTATTTTCATATTTTCTGTTTTTATTTAAATTTTAAAGTTTTAGTAATTGTGTTGTGTTTGTCGTTTTTATCAGTTTTTTTTAATGTCTATATAGCTTTTTATTCATTTTTATGTTTATTTCATTTTATTTCAGTTTTCATTTCAAGTAACATTTTTTTTTATGGTTTTAGTTTTAGTTAACTATTATAAACCTGACTGATTCACAAAACTGATTCAATGAATCATTTGAGTCACTCAAAAGTGTTCAGAGAGATCATGAAATATAATTTTAAGTGTTTTAGTAAAAAATCAGTGGCTTAGCGCAAAATCGCAGGGGGTTTGTTACGTCGCAATATTGGAAATATTTCCATTTTAAACCATGAAGGCTGATATTAAACAACGTGCAAACTTTGTGCAAGAGTTATGCCGGTGAATGTTTTAACTTTAGTCAATTATACAAAGTCAAAGTAAAAAAACGTACAAACTGACGGCGCTTTCGGCATCTGACGCTGCATTAACGGCGCAATATTCTCTCAGAGACGACAAGAGACAAATCTACTTCAGCATATGCTGATAACGGCATATAGCCTAACTGTCTTAAATTATTCCTTAATATTTATCTTGTGGCCCGTACATAGTGGGGAAAAAAATGAGAAATGTATTTTGCATTAAACAGGTTGTTTTTGAAAGTCGGTGCTTGAAATAAAGCTGCTCTTAATTTTCATTGATGACTGCAGTGTTAATAATTTTAATTACAGGCCTACAATTCATTGTATAAATTAATATACCTGTTTAAAAATACCTTTTTAAAAACATTTTCAATGAGGAGTAAGCTAATAGCCTAATCTTTTATTATCCTCAAAGCACGTCAGTTATGCGGTGATGCTCTATGAAATTATTGCGGGGCAAATTAATTGTAATTTAATAATAAAAGTAACCTAATAATAATAACAGGCCTAATAATAATAATAAGAATGTAACTAGGGCTGTCGCGATAACCGCAATATTGTAATACCGCGCTATTGACGAGTCAACCGCAGAGGAAGGAAAGCAACCGCAGTTTTCACATTTTTTTTTTGTTTCATGAGGCTGTGGCCTTCTTGTTTTACAATTCATCACTGTGCATTGAATATTAAATAAATTAATAATGATACAAGAGTGTTACGAGTGTCATTTTCCCGCGAACTGTTTGTATCCGGGGTTTCGTTTACGGATCTGCTGTCTGGCGAGAGCTACGTTACAGTGTCTTCAGTCAAACCCGTCCTGAAACTCCTGACAGAAGATATGCTTAAACCATCAAACGAGGATACCACATTAACATCGGACATAAAGCACAAAATGTGCAGTGTTCTACAGGGGAAGTATGAACCAGCTGCCTTACAAAAACTTTTGGAAAAGGCCTGTTTTTTAGATCCTCGATATAGGGGCGATTATATCAATGACACGGAGACAAAATCCAACATCATCGAAGAGATGGTGAGAGTGGAGGACGAAGGGAGCGCTGCCAGCGCGTCAGTGGTTGGAGACGAAGGGCAAGCGGTGGTGCCACCTGCAGCAAAGAAAAAGACTCTTGGAGAAGTCACGGACAACCTCTGCCCATACCCAAGAGAGCGCGAGCAGATAACGAGCTCACGCGCTACCTGCAGGAGGAGTGCATAGACTCCAACACAAATCCACTGTCCTGGTGGCGCGATAATCAGTCTAGATTTCCGCTGCTGTCCAATGTTGCGCGCAAATACATCGCAATAAAACCGCATATCGCGCTATTGAGCCACCCATAATAACCGCAAGGGAAATTTTCTAACCGCGACAGCCCTAAATGTAACAGGCCTACATTAATTGGAAATGCCAAATCCTATTAATATTGACAATATTTGATGCTTTTGACAATATCTCTGGCTATAGTCGACACATGATACGACGCAACCCAGCACGGGGAGGTAATCGCGTGGCCCCCCAACCCAAAACTGCGTGCCTGTCCGCTACGCCACTGTAAAAAATACATGTAATACAAGCTGATGTTTAGGAGATGCATTGTTAGATCAGCATTGTATACTGATCTATACAAAAATTATTAAACATAAGGCATCATTGTTAAAACTGAAATAATTTTGAACAACATTTTTACTGTATTTACATGCAGTAAATATTTTAAATATACTTGGTAGATATATATATATATATATATATATATATATATATACATAAACACATAATTTCTCCAGCTATATCGCTCAGCCTCATCACACACTCATGTCATGTTTCATTTCTGCTGGAGTGCTTCATTCAGACTGTTGATTTAGTTCTTTGCTCAAACAGGCAGATGAATCTGAACACACCGCAAATATTCCCAGCGATGGGCAGGATATCGGTGAAGGTGTTACTGTAATCCCAGCCGTCCTCAGAGAGACAAGGAAATACTGTCACGGCTCTGTCGTTAATCTCAACACAGCGAGCAAACATGAGCTATACAGAGAGAATCTAGCAGGATCTGGCAACACCAATGATTCAGAACATGCCCAGTGATTTCTTGCACTGCACATAAAAAGACACTCTGATACATGTTTAAATAAATCTGCGCACAATTTCTGTAAATACGGTTGTCACTACCTGCATTTTTCAGGAGATAATTCAGCTGTAGAATACAGTTGTCACTCCTGTAAATTACTGAACTGTGTGTGTACAGAACCGGATTAAGCACTAAAAAGGTGAACTGACAACCGAATTTAGCTGCAGTGTGTACATGGCTAATATGAGTGGCCTTAAGAGGGCACAAACACAGTCCTTCCCCCTCGTTTTTTTGGAGGGGGGGGGTTTGGTTGTCCCCCTCGGTTGAAATCTCGGTCCGGGGGTGCCTATATCAGACAGAAAGGGCACTTTAGCGTCGGCAATTAAAGAGGCAGGGGCTCGAGCCCCCCAGTGCACACCACGGGCTAATATCTTCTTTTGTGTTCCAAAGAAGAAGAAAAAATTCAATGACAGAATTGTCATTTTTGGGTGAACTATCCCTTTAAGTATACAATAAAACACACTGCATAGAACACTGTGAGGTCATGTGACAAACTGCTGTTTTAAATCATGGCATTCTGCTTCAAATGCTATTTTTAAGGCAGTATGTACTATGCTGTACGCTAGTATTCCATTTCAAACGCAGCCAAAGAGTGAGTGGGTGCAGAAAAAGGCAAGCCAAGGGCACAATTTCTTTCCCTCCAGGCCTCGACTCGATGAAGGGCACAAACTTATGTAAGTCAAACACACAGGCTAGTATGTCTGATCACACACACACACACACACACACACACACACACACACAGGTACTGACTTTGACGTAGGTGCGCTCCGTCTCCACCAGTTCGCAGATGACTTTGCGAAGTTTGTCGGCATCGGAGAGCTGGCGTGGAGTGGCGTTGCTCGGAGGAAGTGAGGAAGACTCCGGGCCGGACGAGGAAGAGACGACCTCAGACGAGGGATTCATCTCGTGCAGACTGCGGCAGAAAGCTGCGACCTGCTCCGTACTCTACAGAGAAAGAAAGACAGTCGTGATGAGTGAGACATCTGACAGTCCTGTGCTGTTATTACCACACACACACACACACACACACACACACACACACACACACACACACACACACTTGCAGCACCTGCAGCTGGATCCCGCTGCTTGGATGAAGAATGCTATAAAGCGCTCATTTGCTCTATTTTCAGCCTCTCCTCTCCTCTCCTTTTTGGCTCTTTCTCTCTCTCTCTCCATCCCTCCCTCCCTGCTCTTCTGAAATGTCTTCATTTCTTCTGAACGTCAACCAAAACATAAGCACCTGTCCATGGATGCGGTTGCTATGGGAACGGCTGTGATGGCACATGGACTGTTATTCTCACAGTAACACTGACAGACTGAGGGAAAGTACCATCCATCCATCTATCTGATCTATCTATCTGCTAGGGCTTGGTGTCAACCGGTAGATATTTTGCTACACTGTTTATACTATGGTAGATAAATATGCAGGGATAGCCATAGGCAGGACAGCTGTATGTTATTTACACATGAGAAACGTGAAACTGAGGATCCGAATGTGTCCCAGACAAGTCAAGATGATGAAGAATGTGTTAAAAGGTCACAACTTGCCTTGTTAATTAATGAAGTTTTTGACTTATATATGAAATATATCTACCTGTTCTGCAGTGCAAATGAGTCATTTGACTGTAATAGCGTTTACTGTTTTGAGTCTTTTGTTTTAACTCAAGTGCTTTGTAATGTGAAGCTGTTTTGCACTGTTGCCAGACTCATTCATTTGTTATGAATAATCTGATCTGATCTTTTGGTTTGAGTCCTACAAGTTTCAAATAAAAAGAGAAAATAATCAAATTACATGAAGAGTCTTTCATTCACTGCACTATTTAACAATAGACATTACTGCATGATTATTTAATGCATAACCATTATATTTTTATAATTTCCAGAAAAATAAATAAATAAATATATTTTGATACTAATTCAGATGAGCTTTACTGGCTTGACTGTGTAGAGTAGCGCAATGTTGCCAAAGCATTAAGCAATAAACATGTATTACACATATAAATAAATACAAAAAGATTACCTAATTAAAAAATAATTTAAATAAAAATAAAATGAATAAATTAAGAAAATAAATAAAAATATTGAACTAAATATAAATAAATGCATGAATTAACACAAATTAAATAAATAAATACTAATTAATAAAAAATAAAAATATTGAACTAATTACAATTAATTAATCATTATGCTCATCTATCCATTTATCTATCCATCCATCATCTTTAATTCTCTCACTCTCACTTAATTCTCTTTCTGTTGAGGCTGAAGAGTTTCCTTCTAAATCACCAACCTTTTGCTGCTTTTTAAAGGTATACCATCCAGAGGCAAGTACATATGAACTTGACCAAAACTGAGAAGACAGCTTAAAGTTATCTCATTACTAAGTGTTTGAAACAAAACTTTCAGCGACCCAAACTTTATTGCAAACGTTATTGAATCATCCCTGAAAGTGCTCATTGATGCAACCAAGTTGAGTAGAGTTCAACTATATACAAATAAGTTGTAATGCAATGCACCGACAGCCAATGGGAATGCAGATAGAAGAGAAAAGCTCACTTCATTGCTTTAAAGGTGCTGGAAGTGATTACATATCTTCAACTACACACTCTCTATCCTCTATCCTAAACCTGCCCTTTTATACAGGTAACCGGATCTCAGCAAATTTAAATGCGTGTAAATAAAGCGCTTCAGACTGCCCATGGGCTGTTTATGCTCTTCACAAAGACTACATCAGGTGCGATTTCTCAGGGTAACAATTTTAGTGACATGTGCCAGGTAGCAGGAACATTATGTGTGTTATTAAAAAAGAATCGCTTCGAAATAATTCCTCAGGAGCGTCAGGGAATATTGGCTTCACATTGTGTCTCTGTCTGTGTGTAAACAAATAAATCAGGTCCTAAATCAGAGATGCAGAATAACATCTACGAGGGGCGTCGGGCTTCACCTGTCACTTTAGTCATTAGCTTAAACATCATCAGCTGCCACAACTGCGGCATGTCAAGATGTTTGTGATCCCGTTATCACAGAGACACGTTCACACGCTTTCAGATACAGCAGCTGTCAGCTTTCCACAGACTTTCTCCATCATTCTCTGAAACGGCACAGTCTGAGACAAGTACATTAGGAAACTACGAGAGCGGGAGAGAAGTAGTAGCCCTTTCGTACGCCACACATCCACCAACGCAGTCACATCGGAGGCTTTTTAAAACAGAGACATAAGAGATTATTTGAAGTGGAAGATCAAGGCTACTGCACACAGAAAACCTCTCGTACAAAGCCCAGTGATATAAACAGAGTCCAAAGGTCAGCTACTAAAATTTTTTTTTTTCTTTGGAGAGACATAAACAGTTGCGCAGAGGAAGCAAAGCATGACGACACCGGCGGGTCTCCCAGAATGCACTCTTAAAAGTAAATCTGCTTTATTTTACGTCTCTATGTACCAGTGTTCATTTAGTTTCATTGAGATCATGTTGTAGTTTTTCTTAATATTTTGAATTAATTTTATTTTTCATGTTTTCATTTTATTTTTATTTTTTTAGTATTTTTTTGTGTTTATTCGTTTTTTTTTTTTATATGTCTATATAATTTTAATTCATTTTTGTTTTTGTTTTAGTTGTAGTTATTTTAATACATCAAGTTAATAATAAAATTAAAATGAGAAGCGTTGCCTTGGCAATTAGCTGAAATAAAGTTCACTTTTTAATATTTTATTTTATTACAGTTAATGTTTTTTTTTTTTCAAGTAACATAAGTTTAGTTTTAGTATTTAATTTCAAGTAACATAGTAAGTTAACTAAAATAATAACTAAAAAAGCATGCAAAAGCACAGAATAATCACAATCCGATTGGTCTTTAAAAGCAAATCAAAGACTAGCAAGTAAAACCTTACAAAAAAATTTTGTTGCGGCAAAATCATAGTACTAGATGGTAACACTATGGTACTTTGATATATGATGATATGCATTATATTTACATGGTACTCTAAGGTATTTCATGGTACTACCATGCAAAAAACATAGCGAAATGTGTTGTGATTGGTTAGCTGGGCCAGTGTGTGCTGTGATTGGCAGCACTCGGCGCCTGGTCAGGAAATGACATGCCCTTTACCATAGCGCCCTACGAGCTTCAGTGTAAATATTGCGTCAATATCAAATCAATTTGAGCGCGATTTAAACCCGGATGATTGTAACCACTCTAAGTTCGTCTGCCTTGGGAAAGCTAGCGTGTCTCCGACATAGTGATAACACTCGTTGCCTTCTCTAGTGCAGCTCAACCAGGTCTCATCCCATTCTTCGGTATTTGTGATATCACAAATCCCAGAAAATATGCACTGTAGTCCAAACGAGTCGTTCGTAGTAGTTTTTGAAAAGTGATTTGTGTTAAATAAAATATCTCCATTTGAATTGGACTTTGAGCTTTATAACTTTGCAGATCTTTTTTATGCTCAAACAGCAACATTACAGACTAACTAAAGTTGAAAAAGTGAAAAAGCATAATAGGACCCCTTTAACATAGTAAAATGTCCATGTACAAAATACTAACACTAAGTAAAAATATAGCACTTTTACCAAGAAAACCCAAACATCTGACATTCTGACAGCAATAATCCACAAAACACCAACAAAAACCAGCGCAGAAACCCAAAGCATCAATAAGCCCCAGCTCAGGATAAGAAAAACTGTCCGATTCATCAAAATATGTACCCAGCTACTCATTAAAACAATCCTTGTGATTTGCATTTTGCAAAGAGAAAGCGCTAACATTGAGTACGCTTACATGGACAACAATACTCCAATTTTAATACGATTAAGACAATACTCTGATTAAGAATCTACCATGTAAACAGAGATTTTTGATTACCTTAATCCGGCTAAAGTCATAATCGAAGTAAACAGAAATCGAATTAAGACATGTGGAGTATTCCTATTTTAGTCGCATTACTGAAGTGCAGAATAGACATGTAAACACCTTAATCACATTATTACCGTCGTGTAGGACTTTTCGCCGCATTTTGCGACAGGATACACACACGGCAGTGGTCAACCGTTTGACTGCAAATAAAAGAGCTTCAACACCCGCCATCGTCTGTATGCACGTACAAATAATTAACTGCACTAGAAGCTTTCATAAAATTAAAAATGAAACACCCAAAACTGTACATGGCATCATCACAAAGATGAACTATATGTTTATACGTGAAATTAAGGAGGGGACGTCGGATGGCGTCACGTGAGGTCGTAATGACGTGTGCCATTAATCTAACTATGTACTATAACATGTAAAACGGGAACATGAAAAAAATATTCTAAAAGCCACTCATGTAAACACCATAATCATAATATTGGCTTATTTAGAATAAGGTAAATAATTAGATTACTGATGTCCATGTAAACGTAGTCAATGACTTTAAACTACTTTTATTTACTTAGCAGACTACAGGTGCTTATTTTGGCTGACACTGTTTTTTTTTTTTAAACGTGTGAACGCCGCTTTCCTTGTTCATTAGCGGAGAGAGTCTTAGCGGTCCTCGAATGCCCACGCAAGGACACACAAAGGATGAATTACAGTGTTTCTCCCAGAGTCCTTGAGTCTCAGAACAGCATAACAGCAGAGAGAAAATACGACACCCCGCACGTCCAGCGCACAACACTATAAAACACATTAACTGCTGGGAAAATGCACGCTTGTTAGTGGTGTTTGCTAAGGTGTAGAGCTCACAACCTCCTGACCCTAAAGATGCATCACATTCGTGAAATTTTGCAGGCAGAAAAAGTACATTGTCTATTGTCGGTGTTCTCAAAAAGGGTCACTTTCAAACCAAGCATCTTTCTGTCGGTCAACGTTGCCAATTTGCATGAACAACTTGAAACAATTGCAAAATGTGTGCGGTAAATCTTCCGCCCTCATGCAAAAAAGGTAAATGTGACCAAGTATGAAATCTT